TGGGTGGCTGGTCTTACTATTTTGAGGTGATGTTTGGAAATCTTGGGAAAACAGAATCTGATTTTTTCCTCATTGGAAACTGGTTATGCAAGTAAAAAATAACATCCTCAAGTCACCTTTTAATTCACAAATTAAGTCCTATAAGAATATTATTATAGTCCCGGCCAGGTGGCTCATTCGGTAGGAGCATTGTCCCATGTGTCCAAAAGGCTGAGGATTTGATCTCTGGTCAGGGCACACACCTACGTTGTGGGTTCGATCCCTGGTCGAGGTGCATATGAGAGGCAACTGATCGATGTTTCTCTCCCTGGAAAATCAATAAATATATCCTTGGCTGACGATTAAAAAGAAAGAACGATTATTATATAATAGTATAGGTGGTCCTCAACTATTAAATCCATACTTTTGTTCATTATACATAGAATTATGCAATGCTGTTTGTATGTAGAATCTGGATATTCACGTATCAGCTGACAAGTGGCCACTTTAGTTTCCTCCTATTGATGTTGCCTACAAGTAACACTTTGTTTTGGCATTTTCATCATCTTTGTCTGATATCAATGATTGTTTTTATTCAATTACTGGTAGGACGAAGATGAGGAGAGGAAGGAGGAAGAGGAGAAGTAGAAGAAGAGGAAGTAGTAGTAGTAGGTATAGTAGTAGTAGTAGTAGTAGTAGTAGTAGTAGTAGTAGTAGTAGTAGTAGTATTGAGCCAAAGGTAAAAATGAGTAAGCTTATCCTAAGTGGCAGGTGTTTGGCTTCAACCAGATACTCATTGTGTGATCAATTATGAAGGGAAAGAATAAACAATTAAGTATAAAAGTTTAAAAATAACTGGAGGCCACAAGATGATCTTACTTACCTAATGCTCCACAGCTAAATTAATGGTGGCACTGGGACCAGATCCTGGGGTTTGGGTTTCTCTAATTGAGTATTCTTTTTATCACTTTTTGGCATTATTGATTTTTTTTAGAGGAAGGTGGGAGGGAGGGAGAGGGGAGGGAAGGAAACATGAATTTGCCATTCCACTTATTTATGCATTCATTGGTTGATTCTCGTATGTGCCCTGACTAGGGATGGAACCTGCAATCTTGGTGTATCGGGATGACACTCTAACCAACTGAGCTGCTCAACCACCGCCTCTATCACTTCTTTGATGTCCTGCCAGCATGTTAACATTACAATTCTATCTAGTTCCTCAAAAACCACTGGAGGCATGATTCCTGATAGCCCTAGAAACTATTAGTGTATCCAGGTTTGGGGCTTGTGAATGTTTGTTGATTCTTGCTCCACAAACATCAGCACACTATCAAGACTTGAATGTCAAATCAATATTGGCTGATGTTGCAAATGCTTTCAAATGATTTTTTTTTTTTTTTTTGTATTTTACCTTCTAGGTCTAAGGTTAAATACCACTTATTCAGAGATGCCTTCTCTAGCAAGCTTATTTATATTTGACCTGTTCTTTGTATTTTATAGCACATGTCCTATGAATTTCTCTAACCCATGGTTGAAATAAACCTTATGGAAGCCCTAATTATCACGTTTTTAAAAAAAAATCCTCACCTGAAGATATGCCTATTGATTTTAGAGAGAGAGGGAGGGAGAGAGAAAGAAACACCAATTGGTTGTCTCCCATATGTGCCTCGACTGGGGACTGAACTCACAACCTACATATGTGCCCTGACTGGGAATCAAACCCACAACCTTTTGGTGCATGGGATGATGCTCCAAACAACTGAGCCACCTGGCTAGGGCCCTAATTATCTCTTTTATTCTGTCCTAAACTTGCTATCTACGTCCAAGGGATTAAAGTTGCAGGGAAATAAATTTTAGCTCAGCAAAAGCTACCAATTAGAGAGAGTCAGAAATGAAATGAGCTGTTTTGCAGGATATTGAGCTCTTTGCCAAAAAAGGCTGCCCAGGTACACATGATGTCTGCATTAAGCAGATGTTTGACCTTGACAACCTCTCAGTGGCTTCCATGACTTCCAGCTCTAAGATTCTGTAGTTCATGTCAGCTGTCTGATTTTGAGTTAGGTTAAAATAAAGTGCATAAACAAACTCATTAATACATAACCTAAGACAAGTCATCTAATGAGACTTAGAAAGTTGATAATTTGGACAGCCATGCCTTTTTACAATTATTGGATAATACTATTCTACTGTATATACAATCTGCGGTGTCTATATATATGTAACTCAATGAAGACTGAAAGCAGAGTTAAAAAATTGTGTGGCCTTTCAGTTTTACACACTTTCATGTAATTATTATATCAACTCCAAGGAAGATGATGTATGAGCTCATTACATAGTATGTGGCTTGTCCAAAATCATACATGCAAGGTACTAGAACTTTCAGGTCAGAAACTCCTAAATCAGCGATCTTCTCACTCTGATAGACATCATTACATGTGACTGCCAAATTATTATACCTACCCTGTAGGTTTAGCTGTATTTACATCTTCATCTTGGATTGAAAATACCTTTTTGTCAAACTTCCCCGGGAAAAGGACAAATGGAATTTTAAAATATAACTACTCTTTTCTTTCATAAGTATCAAAAACTTATTTTACTGATTATTAGAGAAGTTATATACATCTAAAATAAACTAATCATAGCAGTGATTAAATTATACATCTTATTAGCTATTATAATTAAAAATCAGTTAAAAAATTAAATTTATTGGGGCAATACTGGTTAGTAGCATTATATAACTTTCAAATGTACAATTTTATAGTAAGTCATTTGTACTTTCCAATGTGTGTTCGCCATCCAAAATCTAGTTTTCTGTCACCATATATTTGACCCGCTTTACTTTCTTCATCCATCCCCACCCATGCTCCCCCCGGTAGCCACCATACTGCTGTGTCTATGAATTTGTTTTTTTTTGTTCACTTGTTGGTTTTACATACCACATAGGAGAGAAATCATATGGTTCTTGTCCATTTCCATCTGACTTCACTTAGCATATTCTCAAGATCCATCCATGTTGTTGCAAATGGTAGTATTTCATCTTTTCTTATGGCTGAGTAGTATTCAATTGTATATATATCCAATCATCCCTCAATGAATAATTATGTTGTTTTCAGGTCTTGGCTACCATGAATAATGCTACAATGAACACAGGGTTACATATATCTTTATGAATAAGTATTTTCTAATTTTTTGGTTAGATACTCAGAAGAGGGATTGCTGGGGTCATATCGTAGCTCTATTCTTAATTTTCTGAGGAACCTCCATACTCTTTTCCACAGAGGCTACAACAATCTACATTCTCATCAGCAGTGTATGAGGATTCTTTTTTCTCCACATCCTTTCCAAATTTTTTATTTCCTGTCTTATTAATAATAGTCATTCTAATACAAGTGAGGTGGTATATCACTGTGATTTTGATTTTCATTTCCCTTATAGCTAGTGAAGTTGAGCATCTTTTCATGTATCTGCTGGTCATCTGTGTGTCTTTTTGTGGAAAGTGTCCATTCAGGTCCTTTGCCCATTTTTAATTGGATTGTTTTTTGCTGTTGTTGAGTTATGAGGTTTATAATACATTTTGGATATTAGCGCCTTATCAGAGACAGCATTTGTACATATCTTCTTCCATTGGGTTGGCTGCCTTTTTGTTTTGTTGATGGTTCCTTTTGCTATACAGAAACTTTTTAGTTTGATGTAGTCCTATTCATTTATTTTTGCTTTTGCTTCCTTTGCCTTTAGGGCAAGTTCACAAAAATCCCTCTGAAACCAAGGTCCATAAGTTTAGCACCTATGCTTTCTTTGTATTTTATTGTTTTACATCTTATATTCAAGCCTTTAATCCACTTTGAATTAATTTTTGTGTACAGTGTCAGACAGCAGTCTAGTTTCATTCTTTTGCATGTGGCTTTCCAATTTTCCCAGCACCATTTGTTGAAGAAGAATTCCTTTCTCTGTTGTTTCTCTCTATTCTGGTGGAATGTTTATTTCTTCCTTGTGTTTCAAATTGTTGATTTGAGTTCCAGTTTCCTTTCCTTCATTGTTGGTTCCCTGTATATTTTTATTTATTTAACTTTGCATGGCCTTCACTTTTTCCTCAATTTTGTGACCATACTCTACCATTTCTGTGAGCATCCTGATTGCCAGTGTTTTGCACTTTGCATCTGATAGGTTGGCTATCTCCTCGTTGCTGAGTTCTGTTTTTGGAGTGTTGATCTGTTCTTTAATTTGGGCCATATTTCTTTGTCTTGGCCCACCTTTTACATTGTAAGGGGTGGAACCTTAGGTATTCGCCAAGGCAGGGCAACCAGCTTCACTGCATTATGGTGCTGAATGTGGGGGAGGGGTCAGAGAGGGAACAATGCCACTTGATAGTATCTCACCCCACTTTCAGTCACTTTTCCTGGTACCCACGAGTAAATTGGGCCCTTCTGGTGCCAATTCCCAGGGGGGTGGGTTTGTGTACATTCTAGGACCCCGTAGGTCTCTCCAATGAACTCTTCTGTGAGGCTGGGAGTATCTCCTGATGCCACAACCCCCACAGGTTTTTATAGCCAGAGGTTTTGAGGCTTTAGTTTCCCTCACTAGAGCCTTGGGTAGGGTGGTCTATCTCACTTCCCAGTTGTTCCTTCTGGCTTCTCTGCATGCAAATGTGGGACCACCCGGTCTACCCACTGCCGCCTCACCCACCCAGCCCACTGCCTTGCTACACATCCTCTCTACCCTGGCTGCCCATCTCCGCCCCTCCTACCAGCCTGGATGAATGTTTCTTCTTTAAATCCTTAGCTGTCAGACCTCCATACAGTTTCATTTTCTGGCAGTTATGATTGTTTTTTGTTTTTAAATTTGTTGTTGTCCTTCTTTGGTTGTGCAAGGAAGGTACTTACACCTCCATCTTGGCTGGCTAGAAAAATGGTTTCTAATGTAAGAACATTTCAATTCAGAATAGCAAGTTTATTAACTCAAGACCCAAAGATGAAATATTTTCATCTATAATGTTTAGTAAAGCACAGAGAATAAGATGGGCATTTGTTATAGATTAAATGGTATGAAAGAAAAGATCCAACAACATTTCATTTTTAGTTACTAATTGTTTCTCAACAGTCACACAGGGTAGTGATTTAATCATTAAGGACAAAGTAAAATACATGATCTCATCCTCTCTTAAAGTCTGAAAGGATCTTTGAAACCATCTTGTTCAATTTCTTCATTTCTTATTAATTGACATAATGGATTTGAGATTCTACTTGCTATAAGTACCTCTTCTTGAGAGAGTTCATCTTTCTATGAAATGCCCTCAACTTTATAAGAAAATCATGATCACTTTTATTTTTCATGTTATATGTTATGGTATGACAAGTGCATTTTAAAAACTTCTATGTTTCTAAAATCCAAATATGTGTTCTCCTTTATGCACATTCACGTGCAGTAGCTTTGGCTTGGGTGATTTTCCTTAACCAGTCTTCCATCTATAAAAGACATGAATGAGTAAATCTTGGAAAAGGGATGACATCTTTGATATTGTCAATTCCCAAGATGCACTGCAGATAGCGTTCAAATCCCATCCCAAAACCTCCATGTGGCACAGATCCAAATCGACGGAGGTCCAGGTACCTGATTTTGAAAAAGAGAGAATCATCACCTATAAATGCTGTACAGGGCCAGCCTTATAGCAGAATTTATATTTTAAAGTATTTTGTAGTCATTTGTTGCCATTCACATCATTGTGGTAGACCAGTCTTTTCCCTCCACAGATGGATGAAGGACACAGAGAAGTTAAAGTGATCTGTCTTACCCAAACAGCAGCAAATCCTGTCTTTCATTCATGTACTTTGGTTACTTGATCCTTTCCTTTTAATTTACTTAATTATATAGAGTAATGATGCTACTTGCCTCATGATGCTACTAATTTTCTTCAAAATATATTCCTTTTTTATTTCTTAGTATATTAACAATGCTCTTTTTTCTTACCAAAATCACATTGTTTGATACACAGAAGAGACTGAAGAGTTTTGCCTATAAATTATATAAAATGATATATAGATTAGATTAAAAGCTACATCAAGGGCAGGAGCTTCATTTTATTCAAGCTTTTATCTCCAGTGCCTGCTCTGGAGTAGATGCTTACTATATGAAGATTTATTGTTTGAGGGTACCAAAACATAGTCTTGAGTGCTGGAGTGAGGAGAAACTCCCAGTTCTTTGCTTTAAGTCTAGTGGACGATGTCCAGAGCTGTTTTTCTGGAAGGCCAGACAGCCTCCAAAGCCCATCCATGGACATTCTATTCCCATTTAAGATGGCTAGAAATGGACAGAAAATGAAACAGCCAAGATTCAGACTCAGGTTTCAATACACCAGCCTGAGATAAAGTTATTTTAGGAGAGAAGAGGAGGAGGAATATTCTGTAAATATTTTTATGTCATTCGGTAGGAGAATTCTTGAGTTATATAATATTGATTAAAAAATGTTTATAGCTTCTTGAGTGATTTATAAAATCAGGTCCAGAATTGAACTTCGGTGCCATGGCTGGTAGTCATTTGGCAACTCTAGGATAAAGACCATCACCTATTTCCTCACTGTTAACAATAATGGATACACGTATTGGTGTTTTATATGGTTAAGATTTAGTACTTATCCATCTAAAATAAAAGATGAGTTGCAACTAGGTGAATTAGAACTAAGTGACAGAACTGTAAACAGGAGTATCTAGGATAAAATTTCAGATTAGTAAAAACTGTCAGGAGTAATGGATGGAACACAGTCTTAAATAATTGAAATGTTTGGTAGCTGAGTTAACTTTAAGTTTATAAGGCATGGGGGCAGGGTGTACTTTGATTTAATGAGAAAATGAGATAGATAAAGGGTGTATCAAACCATCTGCCACAAACACCTGCAGGATCTGAGCTGGCAGCTAAAAGTATAGCAATAGCTTAGGTGGTTCTAAATTTCTCATACATCGGTGTCAAAACACTAGATGTCTAGAAACTAAATTCAGCATTTCTCTTCCCTTTTTTTTAACAGATGGAAAAATCCACTTCTAAGAAACAACTTTTCTAATGAATATATATTGATGGATTTTTGTTAAATTTATTCTAGGGTAGCCAGATTTTAGAAGAGTTGGTACAAAATTTGTGGAACTAGTTACAACTTTTATTTGCATATGGTATGTAGAAATAGGAAGTGAGTAAATTCCTAGACACCTGGGGTGGCCACTCACAGTGGGTGGGACACTAGCAGAGGTCACAGACATGAAGATTTTTAAAACCTCTTCTACCTTCAAATACCATGATAACCATTTAAAAGGAAGAAGGTTCAAATAATAAATATTTATATTTGGAGATCTGAACAGTTTGAAAACTTTAGTTGGGAAATAAATAGTATTGAAATGATTAATAAAGGCCAGAAAAGGCCTCAACTTATTTAACCAATAATTAAAATGTACATTTAGCTAGTGTTTACATGCTATGGACATTATCTTGTAGACAGAAACTGAGGTAAAATGCATAAACTTGATCAATCAGGCTCATCTACCTAATAGCAAAATTCAGAATTAAGGAAGGAAGGTGGGGAGGGAACCAGCATTTATGATCTTCTACTCTACGTACATACTTAACATATATTACACATATTGTTTCATTTCATCCTTACAATAACCCTGTGAAGTAGATGTGATTGTTCCATTTTTTAGCCAAGAAAACCAAGACTCAAGAGAGATTAAATATGCCTAAAATCATTACTGGTATTAAAAAAACAACAATAAAAAAACACAAAAACAAAGGTATTCAAGGCCCAATCCCTGAACCCAATTCTAGGCTTTTTGCACTTCTGAAATATAGCTCCTTCATTACCAAAAAGTGAGTGTGTAATTTGACCCTTTCTTCTCTTGAGGACAGGTGAAGAATTAATAATATTGTTGATAATATTATACCAAGATCCTAAAGGAGTGCAATTACAGAAATATAAAATAAAATTTGCATATATTGAAAAGTATTGAAAATTACTTGAAGAAAGGGTCTGAGGAACGAAAACCAAAAGAACTTTGGAGAAGTAAATGTGTAAATGCAGACAGGTGGTCCCTCCCTGAGCAACTTAAGATTTCTACAGTTGGTGCAGATCACTTAGTTCAAGTTCCTAATTTCACACACAGAGAAATTGAAGCATAATGGTTAGGAACAAAGTTCCAGTTCTGTGCTTCTTTGTGTTCTTAGTTAAGTTAGTTAACATCTCTAGGCCTCAGGTCTGGACAGGTAATAAAAAGGGAATAAGAATAGTACCTAACTCACAGGGTGTTATGCTGATTACATGAGATAATATACATCAAAATTTTAACACAGTTATCTAGCACACAATAAATAATAAATAAATAGCAGCCATTACCATTACCATTTTTCAAAGACTCAAAAGGAATAAGCAATCTTGTGAGAACTTGTTCATTGTTTTTAACACTCTTTCATAGTGCCTTGGGGTAACAAGAAAACTGTGTAATGCTCAGACCAATGGCTAGAACAACAATCATCAGAGGCCTCACTCTTACCATTGGTAGGCTTCTGTCAGTCCTGAGCTGTAAAAGGAATACAAAAAAATTCTTTCAGAGAATGTCAGTAAGATAAATATACTAACCACCAAACATTTGTTCTGGATTGTATGCTTGTTACAGAGAAGTACACATCAAAACTTGTGTTCTCATAAATCATGCAATCTAGTTGAGGAGCTGAATCTTTACTATATGGTAAGAAAGGTTAGTTAAACAATAGTCCCAGGTATTACCAAATAAGTGGTATAGTTGATGAATGCTATAGAAAACAAGTATGGTCTAGGTCCCAAGAGAAGGAGTTCATTTGACATGAGTGTGTTGTCCTGTGACATAGGAAAAGCACTATTCCTGCTACTTAAGGTTGTTGGGAGGCACACACAAACAAGGGACACAGAGACACAAACCTGCCATTCTATACATTAATAACACAGATTGTGAGGCTACCTTCATCATGTGATTGCTAATTGATTCTTGCCAATTAACTCTTCAAGTCTTAAAGCTCTTAGGACTCATTAAAATTAATTTCAGTTTTTTAAAAAGAGTGTTTGAGATCACAGTGTATCTGAAGGGATCGGGATGATGAAAAACTCAAATATACAAAAATATAAAACATATAAACAGAAGTCACAGATCTGTGAGAGAGGAAAACACATATCCATTTCATTAGGAAAGATAAATTTGGATATTATCAGATATTAGGAAAACATTTAATGTCATGAGGCAAGGTTTCCTGAAGGAAGGAAGCAAGCAAAGAAAACAGACCAATTAATCTTTCAACAGATGAGGTTTCTTGCCATGTGTGATTTTTATTGTGCTTAAAAAAAAAAAGCCCAGAGAATCTTTAAATTCTTTCCATCTAAGGAGTTTGACCTTTACTTCAATTCTACGATTTTCCCAGGACTTTCTAACATTATGGTTATAGTAAGGAGTTAGTACTCTGATAAAAAAAAAAAAAAGAGTCCTCCCCAAACATATTTATCTCCTTTCTTCTGGACCCTAACCAAATAGAGCAGTCCAAATAATTAGGATTACAAAACCAAGTTACCCAACAGATTTATAGGTCTGGACCTTGGAAAACATCAACTTTTAAAGCATTTCTCCATTAGGAAAAGAAGGCCTTGCAAATGGCTAATTTAGCAGGATATTTTCAAACATTTATGGATTTTCCAGGTTACCATGAAATCCAGTATTTTCTGGAGAAAAGGATTATGCCTTCAACATGGGAAAGGTTTTTTTTTTTTTATAAAAGTCCGGCACAGCGAAAGTGGAAGCAATGGAAAACAGAGGTTTATAACCCTGGTTAGTTTCGGAAGTCATTGTGGTGTGTTGGCAGACCAGGCATACATAGGAGTGGTAGTGCAATTAGAAACATGATTCCCTACTGCTCTTCTCCAAAACATTTTCTGCGTGTTTATGGATTCATTTCCCAGGTCTCAAACAGTAAGTTAAATAAGTTATTCAAATAGCTAAATCAAGACCCTTACACAATGTAGAAAACTTGAGGAAGGGAAAACTGCTTATTCTAAATGTGAGCTTAGCAGATATTTTTAGTATCTTTCTTTTTCCATCTTTATCCTTTCCCTGGTGTAGAGTCTATCTTCATGTCCCTATAAGAGTTATAATTTAGAGTAAACAAAAGAGAACACAGGGAAGAGGAAAATAAAAATGAAGAACAAGCTTTAAGGTGAAAATCTCCCTTCCCCTTACATCATTAACTGTCAAAAAAGCCATTTCCATAGAAGGAGAGACATACAAGTAGTGGATAAATTTTATTTTGGTCTTGTTTCATGTAACAGTTTCATTTTTTAAGAAAGGGAAGCTGAGAAAGGTCAAGTAACAACTTGTTCAAGGTCACTTAGAATCTGAGTTTCAGATCTGTCAGCCCTTGCAGCCCACGAACTGTTCTCTGTTACTTTGTCATGACTGCCTCTGAGTGCCCTATCCCCAGATTCTGAATTTTGTTTCTTTTAGGTCCGAACAATACCTGGCCAGTCGCTGCTCTAAGAAATGGTACCGTTCCTCTCTGAGGCTTCCTCCAAAGAGCTCTCCAACTCCAGGAACCAGAAGATCAACAGCTGCAACCTAAAAAGGAAAAAAAAAAAAAAAAACCACACACACACATTGCATTTTCAGGGGATTCAACAACTGTAAGATTCTCAAGCATGTGAAACTTTTAACATTTTGACAACTGGCTGATTAACTGCTTACCAGAATCTTACTTATGTTCTGTTCATGTTCCCTGTTTCAATATCAAATCTTTAATACTATCTTTAGAATACATGCTACACAAATTTCAGGTGGACAGTTTCCTTCAAATGTGTTTTCTTCACAAATGTGATGTTTAATTATTAAAAGTGTGGAAAATATTAAAATTATGGCTCTGAATAGCATGGCTCAGTTGGCTGGGCATTGTTCCCGCAAAATGAAAGGTTGCTTTTCTGATCCTCAGTCAGGGCGCAGGCCTGGGTTGCAGGGATGATCCCCATCTGGGGCATGTGCGAGAGGCAGCTGATCGATGTTCCTCTCTCACGTCGATTTTTCTCTCCCTTTCTCTCTCCCTCTCCCCCTCTCTAAAAAATAAATGCATAAAATCTTGAAAAAAGAAAATATTAAAAATCAATTATCACCATACAGGAGCAATTACATTTTGGCATATTTCCTTTCTGGTTTTTTTCCTTAGACATTTAAAGAGTATCGTAGTGATGAAATTACATATAAAAATTTACCATTCTAATGTCTCACTAATATAGAATATTTTTCCTAGTTAGTTAAAGTACTTTGCACACTTAATGTTTTAATAGCTGAACAGTATATTGTTTAGGAGTATTATAGTTTTTATTTAACTGCTTTCCTTTTGTTGAACATTTAAGGGTATATGTATGTTTGTTTTCTCTTATGAATAATGTGACAATGAAGATTTTTCTTTAATTTCTAGTATTTTGTTGAGACATGTAAAATTTGTTCTGATTATTTCAAAGAAGAACAAATTAAAACGACAAGATATCCCTTTGGAGATTATTGAACTGGTGAAGACAAAAAACAATATAAACAATATGGATTAGAGAATGCATAAATCAGTACTCTCATACATTTGATATAAACCTTCTGGTCAGCAATTTGGTGAAAAATAATCAAAAGCCTTAAAAATGCAATATGCTTTGACTCAGCAATAGCAGTTCTAGGAACTAGTCCTAACAAAACAATCAGAGATATAAAAATAAGATTAACATCCAGGATGTTTATTGCAGCATTACTTATAATGTCAAGAAATTCAAATGTACATCAAAAGGAGACCCAGATAAATTTTAGACATGAGTAGGAAAAAGAATGACAGCTATATCGTGAGGTGTTAATTGCCACTGTGACATCTTTTCTCTTATTTGTATTTCCTTATTTTCTATAATAAAGATGTTATACTTTTGTAACAAAAAACTTTAATAGGAAAACGATAACTTGATAATTTACTTTGTATTTCTTTAATTACTAGTAATACTTCATTTTTAAGAGTGTGTATTTGCTATCTCTATTATCTTGTGACTTGACGATTCTTTTGTGGGGGGGCAGGTAGACATTTTTAAGGCCAAAAATACGAAGGCACAAAACTAAGAAAGATTTAATGTAACAAATGAAAAATTAGGAATCCATAAAACACATTTTAAGTTTTAAATGGCACATTATAAGTTCTCTTCTTAAACTTTGCCTTACTTTACTAGTGCCATCCCCTTGTTCTGATTTTAGAACTTTTGATTGAGATATACTTTATAAATAACTGAGATTAATAAAGAATATAATAATTCAAGAATGTGCTCCAAACACTATATACCTCATTCTCATTACTATCATTAAAAGAGAAAACTTAGGCATGATTTTCATCACTCAGCTGGATCAGAGTGAGCGAGAACAGAAATTCACTAATGGTTGCTACTTTTACTAAATCTCCTACCACTTGAAAAGCTGGTGAGTACAACCGGTCTTTGTCATGCTATCACAGCTTGTTGACCACATCTTAGTAATTCTTCTATGAATTTGTGGGCCTACAAAGAACAGGCAGGTGTTTTAGAATGTGGATTTGGTGATTCAGATATGATTGTAGGTAATGAAACAGCTTTGGACAGGTGGACAAGAGAGGCTTAGTAGTATGATGAGGAGATACTCATGGGCTATATAATAAATAGAGCTGGACTCCAATCAGGGCCCTGCAGTTACCCTTTCTATTCTCACAGAAAGGAGAAGGTTCAGGGGAGTTTTTATGGCTACAGATGGACTGGGTTCTTCATTTTCCAGTATCTTGTATTTAGATAGGCTAAAACATACAAGGAGCTGAGACATATAAATATTTGTTCTTTTTTTTAAAAAAAGATTTTATTTATTTACTTTTAGAGAGGAGGGAAGGGAAGGAGGAAGAGAGGGAGAGAAACATCAATATGAGAGAGAAGTGACTATTGGTTACCTCCCATACACGCCTTGACTGGGGACTGAACACACAACCCAGGCATATGCCCTGACCAGGAACTGAACCAGAGATCTTTTGCTTTGAAGGATGATGCCCAACCAACTAAGCCACACCAGTCAGCACTAAAATATTTGTTCTTAACTTCAATCCACAGTTTTAAACTTAGAATTATGGGGAATCAGGGTTAGAAGAGAATAGACAACCAAGCGGCTCACTAGTCTTTCCTTGAAAATATTTAAAGCCTGGGAACCACCACCTCTGAAATACAGCATTCCATTCATGTGTAGTTCTGAATGCTAAGAAGGGATAGATGTATCTAAAATCTATCATTCATTTCCAAGGTTTCAAAGTTGGGGAGATTCCAAGCCACTAAGGAAGGCAGTAACTGCTTTTGATACTGCAAGTACATGCAAAGATTTCAGAGGCAGAGCTAAAAAGATCCACTGCCTCAAACAAAGGTGCTGGAGAGTCAACTATCTTGGAAGAACAGGCAGCAGGTCGTCCAGCTGAGGCTGGGGGCTAGTGGTGAGGGACTGAGGCTACCCTTGATGAGATGTCCTGTTTTCTCTATTAGTTCATAAGCATCAAACAAGATATCCATTTCTTCCTTGGTCTGCTTCTAATACAACTAAAACAAGCAAAAAAACCTCTTGGGAGGTTAGCAGTTTTTGCAGGTCCAAGTTATGTTAACTTTGGAACTTAACCTTTTTTAACGCTATTTTTAGAGGAGTGTAAAATACATAATTTATCTTTGATTGCAAAACTCCTGTATTTTAATATTTGAGTTCACTGGAAAATTAAACATGCTACCACTCTGGTTTTCAACTTTTCTGTCTGGTTTTTGTTTATGTGGAATATTTGCAACTGTATAGTAATAGCTGTGGAACTGGAAGCTTCTGAACCTTTTGAGTCACCTTCAAAATCATATACCATAGTATGATATCTACATTCTTTTCTGGATTTCTTTCAAACCTGTCTTTCTAATAACCAAGGTACCTAACCAGTTTAACTCAACTATTTCCACATTGGCTATTATGAAACTAGTGAGTTAGCTGCTATATTAGTCAGGATAGGTTAAGTTATGCTGTATTAATAAACAATATCAGAAGCTTACAACAGAGTTTTCTCAACCTTAGCATTTAGTGACATTTTTGGCCAAATAATTCTTTGTTCTGAGAGCCTGTCATGTGCTTTGTGAGCTATTTGGCAGCATATGTGGCCTCTACCCACAGATGTCAGGTACACTCCCCAAGTGGTGACAACCAAAACTGACTTCTGGGTTGGGGTGAGGGAGGAATGATGTAACCCCTCACTGGTTTACAGCTATGAATTGGTGAGGGGTTCGAGTGCAGATGGGCTGGAAATGAGCAAGCTGTCTAGAACGTTAGCTGGTGGTTATAATATGCCCTCACCTGCTGGCAGGAGTGTGGGTCTTAGAGTCAGAGGCTGCTTAAAGGGCCAGGATGGATCCTGCCCTGGATTAGGGAAAGGGAGGATACACTGGCTGCATAGTGAAATGTCCTTTTAAAGTTGCCTGCATTTGATCACTTCTGTAACTAAGATCCTCATTGTTCCTATGCAGCTTTGGGAGACCTGAAATAAGTGGAAGTGAAACTGATGGTTCTTATGACTTTGGTTAAATTTAGCTTTGAATCCTGACTCTAGAAATCATCTCTCCCTCTCCCCAACCCTCAGAGACCTAGCCTCCTCTCTTACCCTCCACCACAATCAGCAGCCCTGAGGCAACAGAACACAGTAGCCGGGTCCTGACTAAGGATCACATGGTCTGGACCTCTGGCAGGCAAAAGATAACATCTTTTTTTTTTTTTTTAATTGATTTTGAGAGAGAGAAACATCGATTTGTTGTTCCATTGATTTATGCATTCATTGATTGATTCCCGTGTGTGCCCTGACCTGGGATCAAACCTGCAATCTTGGTGTAATGGGATGATGATGTAACAAACTGAGTTACCCAGCCAAGGCCAAAGATAATATCTTGATATAAGTTATGGTTTAGGGTTTCTGAGCCCTAAGGTGCAATGATCCCTGGGTTCCTTTCCCATAAGACAAAACAGAGGGATGCTAAAAAAGACCTTAGAGTTGTCCTCAAGGCTGAAGAAATGATCCATTACCCTTACTTCACCTCTGACCAATCAGCTCCCAGCATGACCTCAGACCCCTAACCTACTGTGCCTTGTGATTTCGCCCTATATAATCTGTAACCTACATGTCATTGGGAAGTTCAGCTTCCCGTTCTTCTGGATGGCACCATTCATAATAAAATACTATTTCTCCACTGCAGTTCTCTAGTGTTAGGCTTTGCTAGTGCTGGCTGAACAAACTCTGTTCTGTAACAGAAGGACTTTAGTTCTGCTGTCTGTTCCCTCTCCTACACAGATAAAAATGAAGGCTAAAAATAATTTTACTACACTCTGCTAATTTCCCTAGTCTTAAACAAAACTTATTCCACTTTGGTCTGATCTTCTAGACCAGAACACGCTTGGCACATCTTCCTCTATTGTGCATTAGCTTTGATTTTGCCACAGCTGCAGTGGCAAGCTATCTAGAAATAGTCTCTGTTGGTATTCAAGCTGAACAAGCCCCAGCCTCTATTTATGACACTCCGTTT